TTTTTTTTTTTTTTAAGGGGAAGCCCCATGATGTCTATGGTATTATTTGTCTCCTTTATTTTTCTCCCTGTAGAATTAAAGCTGCCACTTACGTGACCCTGAGCAAGCCTGGGCATTGCTTCTTTGCCTTGATTTTATTACTGGAGACCCTGAACTCCTGCCCCTACCTCTGTGGTGCTCACTTCAAGACATCAGATTTGGTCAAATCCGAAATAAGTCCTGAACATATCAAATTGGTTGTCATCTTTGTGACTCACGGCACGTGGGTTCCCACTTTCTCTAATGCCAGTCTTCCTTCGGATGACTTACAACTGTGTCACTGAATAGCCGGGTAAACACTTCCAAGCACAGACAAACCATCCTTTCTGTATTTAAGTCTGATGAATAGGGAAGCATTTCATAAATATCCTTGTGCCCTTATTCTTCTAAATCATCATACCATCAAGCATTATGTTTTGGAGACATTAAATTTGTTTTATAAGTGAAACAAACTTAACAAATAGGTAAGCATTACAATGATTTGATTTTTTTTTTTATTTCTGTGGAGTCTACCCGTAAATCCTGTCCCTCATAACTGGCCTCCAAGTTCAAGTATCAATATTTAGGAGTGAACCAGCACACGACTGTACCCAGACTATCACTTCACAAAGCTTGTGCAGTCAGCACATGGCTCTATTAAGTAAGCATGGCCACTGGAGGCTGGTGGGGCGGAAGACAGTGTGGAAACATTCCTTCTTAGAATTCCTTTAAATTTTGCTCTTGAAAGGGAATATTTGTTAGCAGCCCAGCACACTTGATCCAGTGTCCCCCACTTTGAGCTTAAACTGTCAATATAATTACTTATGAATTTAAATACTGATTAGTCTAGAAAGAATTTCATTGTACAACACTGTTTTGAGACTATTATAACAAATTAGATAATAGTGCAAGGACGAGCTCTGCGGAGTGTTTTCTTTCTGAATCAACTTACGTGATGGTTTAATCACCTATTTTGCCCAGATTTTTGAGGGGAAAATACTGTACACTTTTTGCCCAGATTTTTGAGGGGAAAATAAGGATACACATTAAACATGAGTAGTACTAATTTCATACCTATATAAAAGTTTTTAATTCTTTTATTTATGCTGATGCATTAAAAGAATAACTCTGGAAAGCAATAATGGTATCTGTATGCAAAATGATCCCCTGGAATATATAGTTTTGTTGAACTTATGATGAAGTTGCAATGAAAGTATTTTTGCCAATGAAGAGTGATGTATTTCTCTTCATATACTTTAGATGGGAGCTAACAATCTAGCTGATGTTTTTACAAAAATTACTGGAAAATCCTTTGGAAACAACTTTTGTCTATGGCAAGGTTGAGGCTAATAGTTAGCAATACACTACAGAGCAGGCAGCCGAGCGCCTGAAGCTGGGGCAGGAGGGAAGGCCTGGCTCTCACAGGAGTAGGAAACTGGGATCTCTGGAGCTGGGGCAGGAGGGAAGGCCTGGCTCTCACAGGAGTAGGAAACTGGGATCTCTGGAGCTGGGGCAGGAGGGAAGGCCTGGCTCTCACAGGTAGGAAACTGGGATCTCTGTTTCCACCACAATGACACAAGGAGAGGGTAAAAGGAGTGCATGAGAAAAAACCACTGATGGTTTCTCTGGGGACCTAAATGGTGCTTTAATTTTATGAAGAGAGAAGGGCTGAGTGTGAGAATACCAACAAAATTTGCCCCAAATTTCCATCCGCCTGTGAGAGTCAGGTTTTAGAATCTCATTCTTATGTTCTCAGTCTTCAAAAGAGAACTTTGAGCTTTCCCAAACTGCCAACGTGGATGAGTCCCACTCACACTCGATGTGTTACCCAACAGAGCTGTGGATGTCACAGGAGCAAAGGCCTCAGGAGTCAAAACTAGTGGACCTGAGAAAAACACATTTCACTGCTGTTCTAGCCTGTTGTGCAGATGGGACAGCTACCAACTACAGTCACCTTTAAAAGAAAAACATTTCCAAACAAAAGATTCCACGTGGGGTTATGGTCCAGGGGCATGAAAAAGGATGGATGAATGAAGAAGGCAGGAAAGTCACGTTGCGCAAAGTCTGGTCATGAAGACCTGAAGGTTTACTTAAAAAAACAAAACAAAACACCCCAGCTTTGCCTGTTTTCATCACTTCAAAGCCCATGTTACACAAAGTGCAAGAACAATCAAGGTGGACTTGAAAATCCAACTTGCTGTGACACCCGGTGGGCTCACCAGCCAACTGCAACCCTTCCATGTGTCAGCAAACAAGCCCTTTCAGGCCCTAATGAAGAAATTAGGGTGCAGGCAGCTGATGATGTTTTAACACCTTGAGGCAGAGTCAAGGAAGCATCCATCGCCCAGGTTTGTGATGGGAGCCTGCCATCGTGGAACGATGTCAGGAAGGAAGCAGATGTGAAACTGTTTGTAAAAATGCAGCATCAGAAGTTTTGTGGATGGAACTGAGGACCGTCACATTTACCAGGATGAGGACAGTGACTCTTCAGCAGACACTGGTGATGCAGACATGGACAAAGATAATACTTGACCAAGAGCTTGTGGGCTTCAATGCTGTGTAAATATTCTAAACTTGTTCCGAGAACATAAAGTTTCTTTTGCACCTACTCTTATGTTTTGTAATTGTTTGTTACATAAAATTGCTTGTATCATTATATGTTAAAAAATAAACGCTAAGATTCCTTTACAACACACAAAAAACAAATACCTAAATACAAACAAATAGAAATTTGTATTAAAAAATTAAAGAATTTTTTCCTGAAAATTTGGGCCAAAAACAGGGGTATGCATGATATATAGCAAAAGAGGGTGGCTGGGTTTACTGAATTTTTTTGTAAAGGGCAGTTTTTATTTTGCCCTCAGCTTGTAAGTCCAACCTTTTGGAACACACTTCCATTAAATGGAATTGATTAATTCTTCAGGATTTAACATTGTTTTCATGCTGACAGCAATTGAAACTCAAATGACTCACAAAGAGCCCTTTCAACTCATAAATTCTTCTGCAAAGAGCACCTCTGGGTTTTCATTAACAGAGACTTTCATCTGGAAAAGGCAATTATCTATTTTCCACTTCTGTATGTTTCACTATCAAATATTGAGAAGGATTTTTCTGTTTCCTGTTTTCATTTGAGAAATTGTACAAGGAACTTAATGTGCTCTTTTCAGTCTTACTCTGATCCAATTTTTAAAAGTATCAGTGTTATTTTATTTGTTTTCATTAGTGAAAATGAGCCATAATTTGCTTGTTCACATCAATTAGGAATGTAAAAAACAGCAGCACACAGAGGTGGTCCAGTCCCTGTGCACTTGGCCACCTGCACAGGGCACAGTGCAAGGAGGAAGAAGGGGAGG